ACCTTTAATTGGTCGGTCACGGGGCTTGAACTCTGGGCCTGGGCGCTGTCCCTGCACTCTTCAGCTCAAGGTTAGCGCTCTACCACTTGAGCCACCCTTCTCTTTCCTTTCAGCTCGGGGGGGGGGGGGGAGATGGGAGGGCTGCCTGCTGCAAATGACAAATAGGCACACGTAAGGACCCCATCATTCTTGGTTCATGTCCTAACTGTGGTGTGGTCGTGGCAGGAGGTGGGTGCTTGGGATGTGACCGGGTCATGAGGGTGGAGGTCGCGGGAACCCACAGTGCAGTCAGGCAGCGAGGACCCAGTGAGCATGGCTACCCACGGTAAGCGCCATCTTGGAGCAAGGGAAGTCTTCACCCTGGTTCAACAAGCCCATGCCCGGGGTTTTGTGGATCAAGGAGGTCCACTAAAATCCACGTGACGGCCACCATCTGCCCCAGCCACTGCTCAGCGCTGGGCCAAGGATGTGGGTACTGGGCCATCAGTTAAGAGACCGGTTGGGAAGAGTAAAAGGCTGTTTAATGTCAGACCAAGTTGAACTCACAAAGAAACCGCCTTCCACCGAATGAAGATGCTAACAAGGTTACTCTGGTTTTGTTGGTTTTTTCCTTTTTAATATTCACAATTTCTCTTCTACAAAGTTCTGTACAGGTGACTATACAGGAAGGAACCCCATCAACTGTCGCATCAGTAATCCTCACTGGTGGCTCACCATTTATAAGGAAGACATCATTCCACGCACGGCGCAGGGACTCTCGTGGGTGCTCCCTGCCTCGTCTGCTAGCGGCCAGCCAGGAAGTCAGTGGTCACCCGCTGGGCCTCAGAGTGTGCAGGGGGCAATGCTCGCACCCACCCGACCGAGTCCTTCGCTGCACCAAGGGCAGGCGTCAGCCCACTTCCCCCGCTAGCCACTGCGAAAAGCGTGCGTAAGGCAATTGAATGGAGCATCAAGGGTTCATCTCGCTAATGCCAGAAACAACACTAGGACGAGGATTCCTAGCTTCATCCACCCGATGGGCCCCTGCGGCCTGGCCTCCAGGAGCAGGTGCCGCTGCCTTCACCCGTCAGAGGGTTATAACCTGGAACCGCAGGGAGGAAGTGGGTTAGAGGGCAGCCTAAGCCAGCAGAGGGAATGGCTCTCTGAAGGCTGAGACCTAGAGGATCGAAGTTCAAGGCCAACCTAGACAGAAAAGACCATGAGACTGCCCCCTCCCCCCAACCATCTCCAATTAACCAGCTGGACTTGAAGCACAGCTCAAGTGGTAAAGTATCAGCTATGAGCAAGCCTGGTCAGAGTTTGAAGACCTGAGTTCAAGTCCTGGAACCAGTCCCCCACCCCTCCAAAAGGTCAATCACACTCATTATTAACCGTGGACCCAGATGGCAGGATCCATCTATGTATTCCAGCTCTACAATCTAAGCTTTGCCTCCATTTATAGACCAACTGAAATAAAGAGAATCTTACACCCCACCCCTGCCTCAATTTTTAAGACTTTCTTTTGGTGCCAGTCCTGGGCTTGAACTCAGGGCCTAGGCGCCGTCCCTGAGCTGCTTTTGCTTGAGACTACCACTCTACCATCTCAGCTTTTTAGAAATGAGAATCTCATGGACTTTTCTGCCCAGGCTGGCTTCAAACCATGATCCTCAGACCTCAGCCTCCTGAGTAGCTAGGAATACAGGTGTGAGCCACTGGCACTGGGCTTGCTCTTAGACCACTGATCCTCCTATCTCAGCCTTCAAAGTGCTGGGATTGCAGGCATGTATCCCTACGCCCAGCTATATCATCTTACTTTTAAGAGGTAAAGAAAATGTCATCAATCATTGATTTGGTACTTACCCCCTCCCCGCAAAGGCTTTTTGTCAGACTTCCGTTTGGGGATGACAGATGATGTAGAAGGCTCAGGAGTGTTGTCTTCCTGTTGGAACATACACAGGCTTAAGAACCAATGTAAGCTGGGCGCTGGTGGCTCACACCTGTAATCCTAGCTGCTCAGGAGGCTGAGAGCTAAGGATCATGGTTTAAAACCAGACCAGGCAGGAAAGTTCCAGAGACTCATCACCAATGAACCATCAGAAAACCAAAAGTGGCACTGTAGCTTGAAGTGGTAGAGCACTAGCCTTGAGCAAAAGCAGCCTAGGTCTTCAGTTCAAACCCATGACCGGTCAAAAATAAATAAATTAAAAATCAATGCAAACATACTCTTGGGACTGAGGATATAGCTCTGGGACAGGGCACTTGTCTAGGATGCTAGAGGTCACAGGTTTAATTAATCCCCAGCAACACTACAACTATAGCTACTTAGAAAACATGACTTGGGCCAGGTGTAGTATTACCTGAGGCTTTCTTGCATTTCCACGATAGCTTTTGCCCTCCTGCATGCTGTCCCACATTCCAATCTTCTGTCTCCGCCTCTCTTCTTCAAGCTGAGAGAGAATCCCACATTAGACAACATTCAGAAGCTACCGCTGTTCCCAAAGATGCCAATTCTGACAATTCTTTTCTTTTTAAATTAAAAAAAAAATCCTTAAGTAGTTATACCATGTAGAAATGGTCCCTAAAGCCCAGCGCTGGTGGCTCCCACCTATTATCCTAGCAACTCAGGAGGCCGAGATCTGAGGATTGAAGTCCTGGAGACACTCATCTCCAATTTACCATCAAAAAGCGAAAAGTGGAAGGGTGGCTCAAGTGGTAAGAGCACCAGCTTTGAGGGGGGAGGAGGAGAAGCCATGTGGGGGTTCTAAGGCCCTGAGGTGAAGCCCCAGTCCCTGGACACCAAAATAAAACAAAAGTTCCCCAAACAAATCTTTGCCCTCATTTTACTCAGAAAAGCTGCTGTACAAAGCCAGGTGTGGTGAGACACAGCTGGAATTCTAGCACTCAGGAGGATCACGAGTTCAAGGCCAACTTTGGTTATGGTATAGGAAGACAGGCTCAGACACCAAAGGAAAGGAAGGGAGGAAGGGAGGGAGGAGAGGGGAGGGGAGGGGAAGGGAGAAGAAAGGAAGACAGGCCCCCAAGACCTTTTGCTGTACACACTGTGTGTGGAGCAGAATGAGAACAGGGCGCCGTGGAGCTCCCCTCACAAGGAGGGCTTTGGCTGTGGAAGAACTCTTGGAGCACCAGGCGTGGCCAGCAGGCCAGCCTTGTCACCTGGGGACAGCTGCTTAACTGTGCTGGGTTCCAATTCCAGGGTCAGTGTGTGTGTGTGTGTGTGTGTGTGTGTGTGTGTGTGTGTGTGTGTGTGTGTGTGTGTGTGTGTGTGTGTGTGTGTGTGTAGTGTGCAGCTACAGCAGCACGCACCTGCCTCAGCTTTTCCCTGTGCTTTTCCACTTGCGCGTTGAGTTCTTCTTGCATCCTCAAACGGGCAGCTGCTAGGGCCTCTTGTCGTTTAACAACCACATCAGGTTCTAAGATAATCAAAAAAAGAGATGGAAGGCACAATGCAAACGGGACCAATCCTGCGTCACCAGAGCTACGAATGCCAACCAACCCCAGGTGTTACATGAGCAGTCCTACACATCTGCGCATGCTCTGCTGCTCATGGTGACAGAAGACTGTCCTTCCATCACTGTCCTTAGCTTTTCCTATATATTGATCTCTCCAGAGGCATTCTAGGCACCTTATGAAAATGCTACTGCAGAATGTCTGGGGTAGTGGCCCTGTTACTGAAATCTAAGTGCTTCCCTGGCCACTGAGAGATTCTATTATCCAGCGTGGCGACCTCACTTGGAGCCAGTCTATAAGGTCTCCAAACAAATAAAAGTTTTCTGGATGAAACTTGCCAGGCACCTGTAGCTCACACCTGTAATAGGATTACAGTAGTTCGGAGCTACTCAGGAAGGCCAGATCTGAGAATTGCAGTTTGAAGCCAGCCCAGGCAGGAAAGCCTGTTTATTTCCAATTAATTACAGCCAGAAGCAGGGCTATAGCTCAAGTGTGAGAGTGCTAGCCTTGAGCAAGAAAGCTCAAGAACAGGTCCAGGCCCTGAACTCAAGCCCCCAGGAATCCCCCTTCCCAGCAATACACACAGTTTTCTGAATCTTTACCAATCACTTCACTAGCCCAGGCCTCTATCAGAAAGAAACGATTGACACTTTACTCTTGTTTCATAGAGAAGAAAGAAAAATCCTTCTGACTAGCATTTCTATAAATAACACTGGGCTGGTGGTTCTTACCTGCAATCCCAACTCATCAGGGGGTGGAAATTAGATTGAGGTTTAAGGCTGGCAAGAGCCAAGTTAGCAAGACTGCTCCTCAACCAACTAGCTGGGTGCAGTTTTTTTTTGGTCGGTGGTGGGGCCTGAACTCTGGGCCTGGGTGCTGTCCCTCAGCTCTTCAGCTCAAGGTGGCAAGGGTGCAGTTCTTTATACCTGTAATCCAGGCTACTACGGAGGACGCTAGTACAAGGCTGAAGCACATAACCCTATCTGAAAAATAACCTAAAACAAAAAGGGCTGGTGGAGTGGTTCAAGTGGGCAGGCCATAAAGCTCTGTATCCCAGTACTGTAAAAAATTTAAAATAAATTAAAAAATGGTGTTCCAAGACAACTTGTTTTGAGGTTTTGTTGGTCGTGGTGTTTGAACTCATGATTTCTTCTTTGCTCAAGGCTAGTGCGGTATCACTCTGAACCACAGTGCCACTTGATTTTTCTGAGTAGTTTATTAGAGATAAGAATCTCATGGACTTCCCTGCCTGGGCTGGCTTTGAAGCCAGATCCTCAGATCTTGGCCTCCTGCTCTGGACCTCCTGAGTAGCTAGGAATTACAGGCCCTGCTTAACAAAGTTTTCACTCAACTTCAATGAGGGAAGTCTATATCTCAGGTGTTACTTTGTGTTTGTACTTAGTTTCCTGGCCACACCCACAAAGGGTAGCGTGGAGCTGATAAAAGACTGCCCTATGACACAGAAGTTTCCCAGACAACCAAATGTAATTGGAATTCAGCCCCCACCCCCTTAAGGATGGGGGGGGGGATACTGGGGTTTGAACTCAGAATCTTATAGTCTACCCACCCCCTTGAATGACTCAATCAGCCCTTTTTTGTTTTATTTTAGGTTATTTTTTCAACTGGGGTCTTTTGATTTTTTGCCTCGGCCAACCTCACACAACAGTCCTCCTACCTGTGCCTCCCCAGTTGCTGGGATTCCAGGTACACAGGAGGTGGATATGAAAACCCGCAGCTGACATTCTATTCACCTGTCACGGTTCTAGACGGAACCCAGTAGGTGGACCCACCAAGTACAAAGAACTCACCAAGTTCCAGTTCTAATTCATCTTAATATTAAAGCCACTCAAAATATGTGCAGCATCATGTAGCTTTTCCAGACTCATTAACATCTCTGAAACAAACCAGAAAACCACTACACGTACAACCAAACCCACTTCAGAGGCATAAAACGCCCTCAACCGTGTTCTTGCTACTTTTGACAACAGACTAACTTCTAAACGTCCAAAGCAGGTGCAGAGTCCCGCCCACATTTCTATGTCAGGCACTAACCCACAGCGGCCTCCGCTTGTTCCAGCTGCCTCTGCCTCAAGGCCCTCAAACGAGTGGAAAGCTTCTGGATGACCACGTAGAGGACGATGCAGCTGAAGAGGATGTACCAGCCATAGGTGGCCAGCAGGGAGCCCACTGGGGGGTAAAAAAAAAAGGTTTCAGAAACTAAAAATGACATGTCTCAATTGAACTCCAGCAAGTTCAAGGAGCGCAGCTCCTCTTTCCAGAGGAGGAAACGATCTGTCAACTCGCTCCTTGAGAGGCTGTAATCTGAGGATCGCAGACAAATCCGTGAAACTCTTATCTCCCGTAGAGCAGCAAACAGCCGGAAGTGGAGATGTCTCTAGAGGCAGCCCTTCAGAGAAAAAGCGGAGCACACAGAAGAAAAAAAACTACGCCTCAATCTAAGGAGCACTGAATTGGGGTACTTCTCAACCCTCTGGAGGGTGGGGCACAGCAGCTGGGGTTCTGGAAGACGAAGAGGAGTTTCCCCGACTGGGGTGACAGCAGAGGGTGTGAGGGGGAGAAGGGGGGGGGGCTGGAGGGAAATGCCGGGGCGTTCCGGGGTCTGCCCCCGGAAGGCCTGGCGGCACCCAGAGCAAAGGACCCCGGAGGGCAACGTCCACTCGGGGTGCAGGCCGCACCCCACCCCAGGCCTTGCCCAAGCCCGGCGGCCGGCCAGGCCTCCCTAATTCCCGCCCCGAAGCGGCGGAGGTCGTCCCACCGATCATGGCGGCGCCCCGAAGGCCGGCGGCGCGCGGGCCGCGGCCCGCGGCTCACCCGTGGCGTGAAGGACGCGGAGCCCCTCGGTCTCCAGGGCCGGTCGCGTGGACAGCTGCTCTCCGTCCGGTTCCATGGTGGCGACTGGCGCCCGGCCCGGCCCGCGTCGCCTTCAGCCAACACTTCCGGTCTGTAGTTACGTACACGTGGCACGCCCGACGCGGCCCTGCTACCAACCAATAGCGGATTGACTCCGCCCCGACGCTCGGCCAGTGGCTGAGAGGGAGCGGCAGTGGGAGGGCCTAGGCAAGGCGGACCGGAAGCTGGTTTTGCATTCCCTGGCGAGCTGGGGGTGGGTTCAAGATTCCCGGGTGTTACCGCGGTGGGCGGATCGCTGGCCTCAGATTTCCGACCGAGTGGGTCATCGTGCACTGATTGGACGGCGAGGCGAGGCGGTCAGGAGCCTCCGAGGACCGGACTGGCGCCCTCACCCCTGCCCGGGCCTTTTCGGTGTCTGGGCTGGTAGATCGGCGACCCCAGCCGTGCAGCGTTGCAGGAAGGCACCAAACACGGAAGATGGCACTTTCCTCCTACTTTCCGGCCAAAAACGTCCCCAGCAGTCGGGAGGTTTTGATCCCGAACCTGTTGGAAAGGAATCGCCACCTCCGTGTCTCCGGCTTTGGGTGGAGCCACTGTCACCAGATGTCATTGTTTATAGCAGTGTCAGGTGACCTCTGCCAGTCCTGGCCTTCCTCCACCCCCACCCGCCATTTAGGTGGGAACTGTAACCACCCTATCTGAATTAGAGCTGGAGGGTCTTGGGAGTTCAGACACAAGCCAGTTCCCAGGATGGATCCCTCCTTCACCATGCACGCAGGGCCTGGATGCTTTTAGCTTTGTCACTCAAGGCTGGCGCTCTACCGATCTGAACCACAGTTCTACTCCCTGCTTCTTGGTGGTTAATTGAAAACCAGAGTCTCACATTCCTGCCCAGTCCGGCTTTGAACTGTGATCCTTAGATCTCAGCCTCCTGAGTAGTTAAGAGTATTGGCACAGGAGTGCCCAGTAAGGCTTGAATGTAATCTTAAAACCCTCAGCGCAGACACTTCCTGTCTGGAATTAGTTTCATATGGCTTGGCATGAATCTTGCTCCTGTGCCCATCATAGTGACTGCCTGGTTGACCCAGATGTGAAGTGAAGCAAGAGCCACCATCCATTGCTGGCTTGTGGAGTTCCTCAAAGGGCACCTCAATGGGCACCACTGTCATTCAAGTGCTCCCCAGTGTGCTCAAGATGGCCCTTGGCATGAAGTGTATTCCTAAACCTGGGTGATTTAATTCCATTTTATATTAATGGTATTGAGAAAATCTATCAGGTGGAGCCTACAGGAAATGAGTGTGCTATAGTACATGTACAATGACACATATATACTCCCCTGTGACAAGATACAGCCAAGAGGCCTTACTAGAGCCTGCACCACACAAATTGGGCTTTCATCTGTCAAAACTGTGCTAAATAAATCTCTTTTCTACTGGGAGAGAGCAGAGGTGACATTGTCCCAAAAGAATGTACACTTACATATATGTAAGTGTAACCCCTCTGTACAGCACCTTTATAACAATGACATAATAGATCTCTTTTCTTCACAGAATTAGTCTGCCTCAGGTATTTCCTTGTATTATCTGAAAATGAATGGCAAGTTAATGGAGACTTCTATTGAAGGACTGGAGTTCATAGGCCATGGCAGAGAAATTCCTGCAATCTCTTCTTCACTGTGTCAGTCATCTTAAAAGTAGATACTTCAAATCAGGATATTGGATATGTAGCCATCAATGTGAATTCAGGAAAGAGCATTTCTTCTCACTTGTGGAAAATATTGAAACATCTTGTTTTTCTTTTCCTATTGGGGCCTGAGCTCAGGCCCTTACTCCTGTTTCATTTGGCTTGCTTGCTCAAAGCTGGTGCTGTAGCACTTGAGCCACACCTTCAGCCCAGCTGGACTCTATGTACACAGAGGTGTATACATTTAACTAAGATTTAATGGACTTTTGAGTGTATGGACAAAGAGCCTTCAGTTTCTAGCATGGCTCCGGTGTCATCTTTGTTCCTTGAATTAAGAGATAAGTACCTAATCTAGGTCCATAGTTACTGGAGCACTCTGTTGAATATAACAGGTATTATTTGCAGATATGGGATAAAGGTGCACAGCAACCAGAACTCCCACTTGTCACTGACTGCAGAGACTAAATGACTGGCCCAGATTCATCATTCCTTCTTGCGGCCATAGCCTTGCTCTAGCCTTCAGGTTCAAAGAGTGATTTCCCCATCATTTGATATCATCTTCACCAAGTGCTATTGCTTTGGCTAACAGCAAGTGGGCAGAGGTAAGTGGGTTGGTTTTGAGTGCAGGCTTTGAGGGGCCAAAGATATTGAGACATGTATTTCCAGGACACTCAAGTCATCCATGGGTGTGCAATGAAATCCAGTCAGTGAGTTAGTGATGAGACCAAATGGTGGTAGTTGCTTAAAACTAGTTTTGAAGTGGTTTTTTTAATGTGGTACAATCAACCACAAGCCTTGCCTCTTCAGCTAAAGTATAAAGGCAAATAGCTGACAGTGGTTTCATAAATATCAAAATAAGGGGCTGGGAAGGTGGCTCAGTGGTAGAGCGCTTGCCTTGCATGCCTGAGGCCCTGGGTTCGATTCCTCAGCACCACAGAAGCAAAAAGAAAAAAAGCTGGAAGTGGCGCTGTGGCTCAAGTTGTAGAATGCTAGCCTTGAGCTGAATTGCTGAGGGACAGCGCCCAGGCCCAGAGTTCAGGCCCCACGACCAGACCCAAAAAATTAAAAATAAAAATAAATAAATATCAAAATAAGGCCCTATTCCTTGCAACTGACATTTTTGGAGATTCCTGGAGTGCCTTTAGATTATGCTAATTATGTCCACAAAATATAACTACTCATTTCTTCAATGTATAGTTCTTAGAACTCAAACCAGAGCACTGACCGATTATAGGCAACATCACAAAAGTAAGATCCAAATCCATCTTAAAAATAAGATTCAAATCAATCTTAATGAAGCCCATTGAAGTCTCAGTCCCCCTGGGACTGCACGACTCTCACTTGGTACAAGTTTCTGTTCTTGAAGCTTAAAAATGTTCTGGGTTGGGGTAAAGCCAAGTATTCTGGTCCTCTGCCAGCTTTGGAAAATCCTTTCTGGGAACAACGGCGCACCTGATGTAGCAGGGCTTTTTCTCCTTGTGCCTCCAATACTCCCACTGGAGTCTGGTGCCCAAGGGGGCCTCTGTCCAGGTTCATTCAGGAAAATGGCTCATAGCTCTCAGTCACAGCTACTTCACCGTGGCTTCTCAATAGCCAGAGCCACTCAGTAAGGTAACTCATAAAACTGGACCCTTACTCTTTGTGGGGGTGCTGGGGTTTGAACCCAGGACCTTATCCATGCTTAGCATGCACTGTACCACTGACACAAGCTCCAGCCACAAGGGAAAGCCACTGTCCTACCTAAGAGCAGGGCCCGTGGGAGGGAAGGCAGTCTATGCACACGGCCTCTCACTGGTGACACTGACAGCCTGCCTGGCTCTCCTCCCGCCCACCATGGGGCACTACTCAAACCTGAGGCTTCGTAGAAGCTACTGCTCCTTGCAGCTCTCCTCCTAGTCAGACCACGGGGAGCGTTCTTCACGAGGCCAGCTTATCAGTTTATATTTAGTCTCCAAAAGACCATTCTGGAATATTTAGAAGTGTTCTTCACACTTAGACTCACCAAAGGACTTTAAAAATCAAACCGAGGAAAATGGAATGTGGAGAGGGGCCCAGGGCACTGGTACTTTACAGATCCTTCCTAGTGAGGCCAGCACACAAGGAACACAGAGCCTGTAGGAGCTGGGGCAAGCATCCCTTGGCCTGCCCAGCAGAGAGCCCCGCCTCCGCCCCCCAAACCCTCACACAGGCTGGAGGATGCTGCCCCTCCCTCACGTGCCACCACCCAACCAGCAGAGTCTTAGACTTACAATGCACACATCCACGCATGGCAAGGACGCCCAGCTAGACGCCACCCTCCCACATGAAACTGCGATGATGGAGCACCACGCTGACGCTTGCTATGTATGTGACTTTTATTTTCACTATTTGTAGAAAACTGACATTTACGTTTCCAAACATAGCACCCCCCCAAAAAAAAATCAGCAGTTTAAAGTGTTTCAATAATGCTGATAGATTTCACTTTGCTGCCACAAACCCACATTCCAAAACCAAGACTTGTCCAGGACAGTTTATCGCTCACGACCCGTTTGCAACAGTGTCTTCCTCCATCTCTTCTTCACCATCATCGGTGGGCCCTGCAGAAAACCACACGGCAGAAGTCACGCTAGTTCTATGGCTCCTGGGTGCCAGGCACTGGAGAGGTACAGAAAGACCCAGTACCAGCAAAAATCAAAACCAAAGACTTTCTCATAGCATTCTTGACCACAGCACCTGAATTGTTTGAAGTACAAAGACCAACAGGGTTTTCTGACCTGATCTGCGTTCTCTGCCAGGGATCTGCCCAGACTGCAGTAATCCTTTGAGCCTCTCCACTTCAGCCAGAGTTGATGCGTTGGCTATAGCATTCTGGAAGAAACCACAGAGACGGACAATTAGTTACAATCGACTATGCACCGTCCGCAAAATGCCCACAGAAGTTCACAGCAACTTTTCCAGAGAACATTACACAGTGCTGAACTGGGGGAAAGGTTTTATTGGCCTATTACAATCAGTCTAGAAACAGTATGCCATGGTAACAACCATTCAGTGATAAATGTATCCTGGGAAAATGAGAAAGACTTTTTTCACTCCAATGCCCTCAGTTCAACTAGCTTGTGCAATGAATTCAAATCAAAGTCCCAACAAAGTACTTTCAGGGTAATTTCTCTCCTAGAAACACAGCTGATCCACTTGGAGTGGGCAAAGGAGTGCACATGGCTCAGAACTTGGCGACTGTCCTGTGTATCCCGACCCCTCCTCTCCGCTGTGGAACAGGAAACAAAAGAATACAAAATCACCTTGATTGCTTCCACATCTCCTGGAGATGGGCCACCTTTCTTTTTGTCAGTTGGCAAACCAGCACCTGGATTAAAGCTTGGGAGGGAGAAAGAAGATACTGTTAAATCCCAACTCTTGCAAGTTGCTTCTCTTTTACTTTCAAAAAGGTACTTTTGAAAGTAATAAAACCAGTGTAGTATCTTATCTTTGTTAACAAACTGATACAAGAACTCTCTCCTTCAGAAACACCTCTAGACTCCTCTTCCTCCAGAGAAAGCCCAACTGCACACAATAATGCATGAAGATGAAAACCAGGAAAGATTTGCTTTGCTAGCCGGGGTAGAAATTCCACGTCAAGGATGGACTAGAGGTCGTCACAGACCACAAACGCCCGAATTTAGTACTGCATTCATGAATGCAGTTTTCCCTTCAATTTTGTAGGCAGTGTTTCTGAAGGTGAAGTAGAGTTAAGTTGGATATCCGTGTCTTACGTTTTGCTTCTCCTGGCAATATCCTTTGCAAGCTGTGCACCCCGTTTGCCCTTGAACATTTTCTCTGCTTCCTGACGCTCCTACAGCAATACCATACACAGAGTTAATGCAAACGGGAATACCACATGCCCTGAGATGCATTCCTCAGAAAACACGGAAGAACTACTCCTTAAGCACCTGAGACTGGAAAGAACACCAACAAGCCCATCTCAAGCTAGAAGACCCAGTGGTCATGGCCCCCCGTGCGAGCTCCTGAGGTGAGCTCCCTCTCCCAGCCAATAAGGGACTCAAAGAAACAAAGAAGGGGAAGAGAAAATAGACCCCCAAGAAGAAATAAGCCACCCTATCAGAGTTGCTCAGAAGTGGATTCTAGTGAACTCTACATTTCCTTGGGAAATGTAGCTAAGCAGACAACCCAGCCTGTGGCTCTTAACATTTTGCCAACACTGCAATGGCCCAATGCAAGAGTATCAGCTCAAAGTCCTGCCGTAAGCTCTGCATGAGAAAATTTACTTAATATTTTCTTTCCCATGCACTAAATGATCAGCTACTAGATTAGGCAAATGAGTAACAAAAAGATAAAGAAAATCACACAACTCAACACTGACTAAAAACCAACAGAATATGACTTACTTTTAATTTTACTTTCTGGAAATCGAGGACTCGAACCTGCGGGACTTTGTAGATGACGTACAGTCTGTAATGCTTCTTATTTGTGACAGGGTTTCTTAGGATGCTAGGAGAAAAGGAAGCGCACAATACCAACCCTGGTCATGGCACTGCACTTGAAAACTCCATCTGAACGGCAAGTGTCTGTCCCTGAAGGAGAGTCCACCAGCCTTTCTGCTACCAAACACCACTGAGGAAGCATTTTCAACATTTGGTTTTGGAAGAGACTTGTTATAAACTGATTGCCTTAAAGTTAAGGTTAATATAGGTGCTATTTTAAGGACTTCCCTTTTTAAATTTCATACCTTAGATACGTCAGTGATTTCAGAGATGCCAAAGGGTCCAGATCCCCCTGTAAAAACAAGGGCCGCCTGGTAAGCATGCAGACACCGCAGACTACCCATTTCCTATCTTGACACAGAGACTCCCTTGAGAGCAAGGGCCCCACCAGCTTTTATTTTCTCTGCCCTGACACCTAGCTCACAACCAATGCTTAACCAGCTTCTATGGAACACACTGGTGACAACACCTGCACTTCTCTCAGTCTGGTATTAACTCTGGCTCAACATCAACTTCCTGTGGCATTCCTGCAATGGCAACGCACAATGGATGATTCTGAAAAGAAACCAATGTGAGAGCTAGTATGTTTGGAGCAAGGTATTACGTGGAGAACCTCGGGCCAGGATCTTGGTGCAATGTCATACCTCCCAAGTGCCTACAAGAGCGGGCTGTCTTTGGGAAAAGTCTTTTATGCTAGGACCTCCCAATGCTCATCAAATAACTTTACACAAGGTCAAGGTGAACAGAATTAGGACAGATGGACAGACAGACAGAGACACACACATACACACACACAAAAAAAAGACTCAAAACTACAACAACTAAAAACAAAAACACCATAAAAGCAAAATAACCTTAAAGGCCCAGATTCTGAAATAATGAAGCAATAGACAAAAATGATCATTCTCTGTGAAATTTTCTGGGCTGGGATGTAGCTAGCCTACCAAGTATGAGGCCCTGAGTGAAAGCAAAATAAATTATTTTTCTCAATTTTTGCAGTTTCCCTAAGAAGCACGCAGGTGCTTCAACCCTATCCCTCAAAAACATCTCTCTGCTCCCATCCCACCCCCTACCCAACTCACCAGTTCCACAAGACTGTTGTTGGTGAGAATGAGTTCTGTCAGACAGGGCAGAGCCTGGTCAAGCCCCTCACCTATGCGGCTAAAATAAAGAACAAAGGCAGTTAGTAAGAGAAAGCGAACAATGAAGCAGGCTCCATCTTCAGAGGCTCTCAGACACATTACAGCTTGTCCCTGTAGTCCAAGCCACAGGCTGGATGAACACGCAGTGACTTTAGCATCCTCCTGGCCCTCTCCCCAGACACACTAACAAAGGTGGGGGCTCCCAAGCAGAAGAAACAGCATACCTCATGACCTTTGACTCTGTATGCACAGCTTAGTTTTTTTTTTTTTAATTATCTTTTTATGAGTTAATGACTTTTTTTTTTTAAAAATGTGGTCCTGAGGAATTGAACCCAGGGCCTCATGCATGCTAGGCGAACATTCTACTACTAAGCTACAATCCCAGTCTCTCACAGCTTAGTTTTAAAAGTATACCATATTATAAGAGAATAGTGAGTCTATGAAAACGATTATCTCCAAATCCCCCAACTTACCACCTAATACTTGTTTATAAAACTCCAATAACTTTCTCCAAGAAAATCTAGAGCTGATGAAAAGAGGGCAACAGAATCTCAATTTCAAAAAATTATATCCTAAATATTAGCTGTGAAAAAATAACATTATGTACATATGTCCAGTGAAAAAGTTTGATTCATCCCTAAATTTTTGTACATTCACATCCTTTTATAGATCCCCTGACAACTGCTTTAGAAGCCTCCATACATAGTAACATATTTCCAATTTAAAGGACAGAATTCTTATGATTATAAAAATATAGGGGCTGGGAAGGTGGCTCAGTGGTAGAGCGCTTGCCTTGCATGCATGAGGCCCTAGGTTCGATTCCTCAGCACCACATAAGCAAAAAGAAAAAAAGCCAGAAGTGGCGCTGTGGCTCAAGTGGTAGAGCGCTCGCCTTGAGCTGAAGAGCTGAGGGACAGCGCCCAGGCCCAAAGTTCAGGCTTCACAACTGGACCCCCCCCCCAAAAAATACAAGATTTCTGAGAAGATAAATGGGAGAGACTGGCCCAACGCTAAATGAATTTCTGGGTCTTTATGGAAACGTGCTATTCACTTCTCAGGTCTTTACAAGAAGGAGGTGCACCACACCATTTATTCCAGGGGGAAAAAAAATCCTCTCTACTGGCAGTCACTTACCATATTCTGTTGTTGTTCACTAATAAGGTTTTCAGTCTTCTCAACAAAGGAAAGCCATCCAGTTTCCTGATTTCGTTGTCAGAAAAATCAATAGCATCGAACTGGTCTAAGGTAGCTCCTAGATTTTCTATGACAGGAATTTTATAACCTGTCAAATGGAGGGGAAACATACATGCAGGAGGTATTAATAATCAACAGGTCCCATAAAACAGCAGCAGCATTTTATTTCAAGGTAATTTGACTCAAAGCTTTCCTTTATGCAGGAAATAGAGACCTACAGTCTTTGGATGTCAGACACTGTGCAAAGTATTGAAGATAGAAAACAAGAACCGGGACATGCTAAATTATACAGGACGCTGGGCATTCACACAGAGAGGTCAAAGGACACTCTTAGGAGGAACACTAAGTCAAATGCAATGCCTCTGATCATATAAAATATCAAAATGAATTCCAGGAAATGGGAACGCTTTTGTCTTCTTGTCTTGCTTGTTTATGTGTAACAAAAAGAGGGGGGAGGGGGTAACAAATAGAGGGACAAAAGGTGAACAAATGCAGCAGTGGTATTCACTGGACATTCTGTTGAAAATGAATTACTCAACAGGTGGGTAGGGGCGGGAGGGGAAAAAACCAGGAGAGGGTGAGGGAAGGGGTGACATTGTCCAAAAAGAAATGTTCTCATTACCTGATAATGTACCCCTCGGTGCATCACCTTTATAAATAACAATTAAGAGGGAAAACAATCCCCATTGAGTTAGGTGCCCTTGTGCCATGAAGACAAGGATAATGGGTATATTTGCTAACAGGAATATTAATAACATATACTTATAAGAATCTTTACATGTATGATCACGATTCTAATAACAGCCAGTGCCTAAGCGTTTGTTCAGCCACTGGAGCAGTTCTCCCCACTGGCATTCCAACAGGCCGCATGGGTGGAATCCATCAGCAGGTGCTCAGGACATCACGGCTGGTCCCTTTACTTCACCTCTGCCAGCTCCAACCCAGAGCTGAAGGCTAGGGGCACATCACACAGTGGTGAATCACAGTGAACAATCCACTCACACACTGGTATAGTTGAGTGCCTCATACCAGATGCTAGAAGAAATGAGCCCAACCAAAGTTCAAGTACATACTTGAGAGCTGAAAGGTCTGCACCCAAGTACTATACCAAAATACGTGTTCTCAACATTACCTGTACTTCAGAAAGGTGTAGAAACCAATGTGTGCCCAGGGGGATGGGGGGAGGGGACGCTGGCATCCTAGCCTTCTGCAAGAAACTTAATGCTAAGTAACAGCCCCGGGATTCCCCAAAGCTCAGCAAGTACCCCAGCAGACAGCTGAGCACACAGGTGCATTTTCACTGTGGCTGCCTTGGCTACCATCACACAATCCACAATCTTATCCCAGAGGGGAGGGGAGTGCTAAGGAGAAGAGGGGAAGTTAAAGCACCAGAACAGAACTGTGTAAGGTCTTTGCACTTGCTCAGCTGATGGTTCTACCACTTGAGCCACGCCTCAACAGTGGCTTTAAAAAACAAAACAAAAAAACTCGTTATATTTTGGAGACTAACTACAGTGGACTTTTCTGCCCCGCTAGCCTTGAACTGTGAGATCCTCTGGATCTTAGCCTGGTGACTACCTGGAAATAGCAGACGTGAGTCACTGGCCATCAGTCTGAGACAAGTTGCTGCGCAGATAAATGCACTTTCATTATATAACTAAGCCTCAAAGTAATACATCCAAACAACTATAGGGCCTTGAGGAGTGGGGAAGAGATTCCACCGTTGAACACCTAAGAGGTGAACACACAAGACTTGGCCAAACATTTCAATCTTGCAAAGGAGAAATAACTAGGTAACAAAATCTCCTGAGAGCATAAATGCACCGGGTGTGGATAGCTGACCCCTGTCACCCTATCTACTCAAGAGGCTGAGATCTAAGGACCTCAGACGGGGTAGGAAAATCCGTGAGACTCTTCTGTTCAAATGGCCACCAAAAGTGGACCTGTGGCTCGAGTGGTAGAGCACCAACCTTGAGCCCCTTCTCCCCCCCCCAAAAAAAAAGCTCTGGAACAGTGCCTAGGCCCAGAGCTCACGCCCCACACACGTATACACACGCGCGCTCGCACCCACACCAAGAGCATGATGGAGCGGAGGAGGGGGTGTGCGGAGAGAAACAAGCGGTCGCTTTTCCCCGGTGACTTCCTGGAAAAATACGGGGCCTGGGTGGGAGCATCACGGCGGCACTGGTCCCCCCTCTGCCCCACCGTTTCCGGGCTCCCCGTTACTACTCACTAGACGCTACGTGGAAAACCAAGTCTACAACCTGTGGGGGAGGAAGGCGGGGTGGGTCTGGGAGAGATCGAGGGAAGAGGGGGTGACAGCGCTCGGAAGGAAAGGCACTCGTGAGCGAAGTTAACTGTCACCCCTCTGTGCGCCACCTTCACACTAACAGCTGAACAACAACAGCAGAGGCAAGAAAGAGAAAAGAGACACACGTGGGGCTCGAACTCACGCCCTCGGGTAACGCGCCTTCACCCGGGGGCCCCGCGATCGCCCGCAACCAGAGCCCCGGCCAGCCCCCTGGGGGGGCCGGGGC